AATTTACCGCATTCAGGCTTCCTTGCTAATCCCGCCCAGAAAACAGCACAGCTCTCCACCGACCCAGTCTGCCCGGTTTTGCCCAACTTTCAATGCCTTCAGTGGTTCGGCCTGGGCATTAAGACCCGGGGAAAACTCTACGGGAGCAGAAGGGCTTATTGCAAGCACGGTTTCTCGGCAGCGGCCAGATCTGTCCCAAGCGTGCCGAGCACGGTCAATGAAGCCAAATGACAACGCACGCACATTCAAATGAGCCTCAAGACCGGTCATGAGAATGCAAATGGTGTGAGAGTATCCTAGTGGCACTCGTCTGCAGACACGCATGGTTGGGAAAGGGGCTTTGCGTGGTAAAGCCCACGTTTCAAGGGGGTGGATTTATAGCTCAGCAGTCAAAAGGAGGAGTCCCTCTGTTGGCAGTATCTAGAGACCCTGGGAGGGTCGGATAAGAAGAAGAGGGGGGGAAAACTGGATTGCAAGCTTCATTAGGAGCGTCGTTCTGGTTCTGCTTTTCCTAGAGCCAAGTCTCCAGGTGCAATGCTGATCTGCCACATGGACCCGAACCCTACCCGAAAAGCTGAACACCTGCCACGTTTCTTTCCCCTAGGGGAGTTATGTCATTCTGTCACTAAGGTCAACTGCGGTTTCTGGCAAGAGCTGTTCCTCTCGCTTCCTGCCCGTGGCTCCCTTTGAACTCCTGAAAGATCGGAGCTGGACTGGGGACTCAATCCACTGCTTTAGCAACACAGCAAAGCAGCAGCAGCCCTGGAGGGAGGAGATGGCTCTGGGAATTTGCTGAAAATTGTAGCATCCTTCCCCTGGGCATGAAAAGGGGAGGCACCATGGGACGGCCTGCACCCCACTCCTCTTGCCTGGGAGAGCCTCGCTGCAGAGCTAGTCTCCAAGCCCCTCAAAGCACAGCGATTCTGGGAAAGCTCCCAGCACAACCAAGACCTCCTCTGCTGACCCCAGCACCGCTGCAAAGGGGCTTGGCACCATCTCACCCCCAGCAAGTCTTACTTAATCTTCGTTCCCTTCTTTCAGCAGGGTTGGAAGTGAGACGTGCGAAGCCAGCCCTGCCAGGATCATTCTCTTCTCTTTTTATAAGGTCATCAAATGCATTTCCCCCACTCTAACTTTCCTTGGATTGAGCATCTCAGCTGCCAGTGCCCTGCCTGTAGTTAGTTAATACATGCAGAGCAAGTCCTAAGAAAAAGCAGAGGCACTTTTCCCATGCACAGGTCCAATCCCCTGTTACAGCTACCTGCCAGAACCATCTCAAGATGTGAACGGTAGCTTCAAACCTGTCCAACCTGAGTAAGGCTCAACAGGGCATGGCAATTAAGCATGCTATGACTTCAAGCACGTGTGCCATTAAATTGGCTTCAACAGGACCTGCTCACAGCAATGCAAGCTCAACTGGGGGCTTAAGGCCAGACTTCCAGAGGTTCTTCAGTACCTGAAGGTGCAGACTGGCTGAGGTACTTTTCTCCATCTCTAGGTACCTAAAAACCTTGCTCTAAATGACGGAGGGGCTTGTTTTCAATGGGGGCAGATGACAGAACAAGGAGCAATGGTATCTAGTTGCAGCAAGGGAAGTTGAGGTTAGATATTAGGAAAATGCTGTCACTAGGAGGGTAGTAAAGCCCTGGAACAGGTCACCCAGAGAGGTGGTGGTGGAAGCTCCATCCTTGTAGGTTTTGAAGACCCGGCTAGACCAAGCCTTGGCTGGGATGACATAGTTGGGGCTGGTCCTGCTTTGAGCAGGGGCTTGGACGAGATGTGACCTCCTGAGCTCCCTCCCAACCCTCATTGTCTAGGACTGTGCAACTTTCAATGAGTTAGGCCCTTAAGCCATTTGGGTATTTCTGCAAATGAGACTGAAGACTAAGATCTGAAAAATGAGACTCGGGCCCCTAAATCACATGGGCATTTAGTGCCAAAAACAGCCTCCCCCCACTCTGATGTGTTGTGTAAAGAGAGATCCCAAAGCAAAAGTTTCTGCATCCCTGTACAGACCTTGGTAATAACTGGACAGTTGTAACACTCGATTCCCTCCTGAACTTTGCATCACAGCCACGCCATTGCATAGACATACCTGACCTGGCACGGTTTCCTATAGTTCCCCGAGTGCTTATGCCCCTTTTTATTTTCTCAAGTCTTTTTTAGAATGGCATTTCTCATGCAAGGAGCAAAAGGGGTGTCATGGCTCGGAAACTTTTCAGGCCTTTGTGGGCAATTCTGTTCTAGTCGGAGCAAAATCCTGCCCCGTGTAACTACACAGAAGAGGAGGCACTTCAGACCCGGCTGGAGCAGAGTTTTCATGTCTCCAAGCAGCAAACAATATCATCGTGAATGCAAAAAAAAGTAGTAAGGAAGAGAAGAGAGGTGTTAAAAGCAGTCCCCTTTCTCCATTTCATTTTGCTGCAATCACTGAAGCATGCGTCATGAATTTTGAACCCATTTCAATCTAAAGGGCCAGATTTTCATTTCCAGCTGGAGCTTTTTATATTCCACTCTGCTATAAATGATACACTTACACCCACTGTTAACCCCTTTCTGTTCCCCACACCCCAGCATAAATAAGGTTTGGGTGCCCAGGACATCCCACATGATTCCTAAAAGAAACTTGTTCTCTTTTTTTCCCCCCTGGCTGGAAAGTGATTTTTTTTTTTTTTTTTAATTGACTCTTTGCCATTCTTCACATTCAGGGGAAACGTGAAGAAAGAGAGAGCGCAGCAAAGAGCACATATTGCCTTAATGGCCGTAACACGTTGCCTGATCTGCAATAGTCATTTTGCTATGCCACAGCTCTGCACCTGGCGTTTCTGAGCGCGAAGCATTTTGTTCTTAAGCTCAGCACTGGAGCGTATGCCACGGATAATGTTCTAATGTAAATCAGGCTTCAGACTTCTTTAATATCTTTTGATGTCTAACTATCTCAAGCAGCTTCAAAGCCAGACAAGAGCTACAGAACAAGCCCTCAATGGATTTCGATTTTTCCAGAGATGCTGAACTTTTTCAGAGCTGCAAGTGGTTAACTGCAAAGCTTGCAAGGTGGCTCGGTGGTGTGGTTTATTAAGTAGACTGTACTTATGCCAAGCTGTTTCAACATCCTTCCCGTCCAGTGCTACTCAGGCAAAAGTTTTAAATTCTTATGTAACAAACTGTACTCAGAAAGTACATCGTGCTTTTGCAGACACGAATGGCCAGGACTTTGCTGCCAATTCCAAATACTTCCCCATACCTTAGCATACGAGCTACAAGTGACCACAGAGTATCGCCCTTTTCCAAACGAGGTCTTCATTTTGAACAAAACTTCTTAAACCTACAGGTGCCGCTAGCAACAATATGAGCTTTAAGTGACACTTCGTCAACAGGACCGTCGGTATTGGGGGGGGAAGTACAACTTGAGAAAAGCAATTTCAGATCTATAACAAATCTACAGGGCCATATTATTTGTTTAAACCGTTATAAATCTAATCTTAAAACATGCCGCGATGAACTCCAAGTATTGTTTAGGCATAATGGCTCTAATTATACAGTGAATTGTTGGGGAGAGCTTTTCAAAAGCACTCAGCTGGATTTAAGAGCATGATTCCCACTGACAGCCAAGAAGCCTTGCGCTCCTAAATCTCTTAGGCATTTTAGAAGAAGACTCTCTTGCTGAAAACTTTAAAAAGAAGTGTTAACAGGAAGATGGCAGGAGGTTTGAATCACGATAAAACGAACGTTTCCAGCTGTCAGAACTCTTTGACAGAGAATATTAAATATAGATGAAAACTGGCTGAGAACTACTTACTATCCAGCTTTCATGAGCATGTAAATCATACCACACTGATATGATACCATGCAACTTTCAGAACAAAATCTTTGCAATCGCCAAGCTTCTCTTTTTTAGATATGATACGGGAAGAGTGAATGAGACAAAGTATTAGAGATGGCCAGATATGAAAACCCTTGCAAAATTCAACGTTAACCCAAGACGATACTAAAGTGACAAACCATATTTTGTCTAAGCGGTTAAGAGAGCAACAGCCACGAGGCTGTAGAAGTCAGTGTGCACGTGCAATTGCTTCACCACGAAAATTGAAACTGAACTCAAAGCGTGTAAAAATCTGCTCCATATGAATAGGGCACCCCTCGGCATTTGCAAGCCTGACAAACGGACGGGGAAATGCAGTTCAAGTGCACTATTAATGCAATTTTTTTTTTAGGATGTGGCACTGTCCCACGATTAGAAAACGTGGGGGATTCCGAAATTATGCTCGGAAAATTAGGAACTGCCAAAATGGCATGAAGCAGACTGAACAACTCCCCAGGATAAGAGGACCCACAGTAACAGGTGAGCATGAGCTGCGCTTTCAAACAGAAAAGGGCCAAAGTCTACCCTCGGTTACACCAGAGTAACGCAGCCTGACACCTGCTAATCGCGTGGTCCTTCCACTGTAGCCAAGAATGAATAATGGCAAGTGAACCTGACAGATCTATAAGAAAATAATTCTACTTAATAACAAGTTGGATGGTCTCCAATAATCCTCCAGCGACTGTTTTCCTTCCTGGTAGATGCATGGTACAGCTTCATGACCAGGAGTCCTATGGATTCAATCACCTGTACATTTCTTCAGATACCCAAAGATTAAAAAAACCCAACCCTTTTTCCACTTCTTTTTGGAAAAGGCTAGGCAATGGTTAAGGCTATTTATTTATATAACCGTATGTGCGTATACATCCACTTTAGGCTCTTGTGCACTCTGCCAAGCAGAATTCAGGATCTGACAAAGTTAACCACATGTCTCCCGCTAGAGTTTCTGGGCTTTGCATGTCTCATTTTGGATTTCAGAGATCTTATTAAGTTCGAGTCAACAGTGGCACTTCTGACGTTACCGAACAGGCCGCTGCACTGCAAGTTACAGGACTCTGTACTGCTGCGCTACACTCATGGTATCTCTTTCTTTTTAATTTTCAGTATCTTTTTAGTAAAAAACAAAACTGCAGCAACTTTATTAGCTTTCACTTATTAGCTCTTGTTCAGTAAGTGCAAGGCACATTCCAATAACATGATCGCAGCAGGCAGCTCGGTACGTTCATAAAAGGAGAGAATCCAAAATCAGATTTCCCATTCATCTACCTTATTCCCAAGCCTCGCTTGAAAACCCCGCACGCTCCCCCCACACCGACTCCAGACCTCTTATAAAGCAACGTGCAGCACCGATACCCAAGTGTTTCTAATCTGCCGCAAGCTTGTTCCCCGTCCAAATCATTTCATCGTTTCATAAAACTTCTCCGGGCCTAAAAACTCAAGCCCTCCGATCCATATTTGGACACCTCAACCTGGGCACCGATTTTTCAGGACAGCCGAGCCGATCTATGGCAGTTCGAGTCCGTTTTGAAAAATCAGGTCGTTGGCTGAGATGTCCAAATATGGATTTAGGAAGAGAGGTGCAGGCACCCACGCTGGAAAGCTGGGCCTTTATAGGATTAGAGCATTAAAAAAAATCATAATAAAAACAAGCCACAACTCTTGCCCCGTGGATACCAAAAAAAACAAGGAATACACAAAAAGGACACTTCTTCCTAGTCCAGGTAAACTTTAAGAACAGCACAGCAACCTTTTATCTCCATCCTCCCTTCAGTTTTGAATTTGAATGAGGGGGGGGAAACATGAGATCAGTGCCGTAATTCCACACTGCGAAGCAAAAAAAAAGTATCAGAGCCAAGTCCAAACAGCTCTTAGAAGGCAGCAGCTAATGCCATTAAACTGGAAGGAAAAAGAAAGGCTGTTTTGGGTTGTTGGGTTTTTTTGGGTTTGTTTGTTGTTTTTTTTAAACACACCAAGCTAACAGGGGTGAACACACTTTGTAGAGTTAATGGAAAGTCAGAATAACCGATGTTATCCTGCCCAAACTCCGCTCGACTTTGCCCTCTTCGTCCAAATTATTTTCGGACCCGTGGAGCCGCTCTCTGTACCACCCCGCGAGCGCTGCGCGTAGGGAACGGCCTCGCTCACTTTGGGCACGACTCTCCCTGGAGCCCCACGAGAGAGCAACGCCGAGCGAGCAAACCACCCGTCTTCTTTGCAAGCCAGAGGGGAAAAGGATCACGGAGGAGATCCGCCCAGACGAACGCATCCTCCGCCGGCCAGCGGGCCCTTTCTCGGCATCACCAGCCCTGCAAGCGTCTCCCAAAGTTGGGGCACCCAGTAACGACGGCGGGGCAGACGGGGAGAAGCCACTTGCCGGGGTGCAAGAACTAACCCCCGACTCCAGCGGGGGCACGTGCGACTCCTGGCAGGGCAAGGGGTGAAAACAATGGAGAACAACACGAAGCGGGCGCCGGACCCTGCTCCAGCATCACCTCTCCCCAAAGCATCGCATACACCCCGACGGGTCGCTGGAGTGAGAATTACACACCGGACCCGGCAGGGTCTCCACCTCCCCCCGCCAAAACCTTCAAGAATCCTTGTACCAAATTCCTCATCCCCAGGAGAGGATTTGTGAACTCCCTGCCACTTGCTCCAGGATGCCAACACCCTCCCCTTGCTCCATGCTTTGCAAGCCCACCCCTGCAAAGCCGGAGGGGGGTCTGGGGCACCCCTTGCAGCCCCCGCACAGGGGCCAAACCCCCCCCCCCAGCCGGGTGCAGAGCAGGATCCGTGCAAGGGCACTTACAGCGAGGCGGGCCAGGCGGGCAGCCCCCGGGGCAGGGCGCCCAGCCCCCGGCTGCTGCAGTCCAGCAGGTCCCCGCTGCACGTGCAGTTGGCGGCGCAGCGCGGCGCCCCCAGGCTCAGGATCGGGCTCAGCATCAGGATCAGGATCGGGGCCGGGAGGGCCCTCAAGCTTGCCCCTCCCGGCTGCGCCATTTTGTATCCTGGTCCGCGGGAAGGGGCCCGACAGGGAGGGAAGGAGGCAGCGGCGGCGGCGGCAGGAGGAGGAGGAGAGTCTCTCCAGCTGGGACCGGGCTCGGG